TCTCTCTCTCTCTCTCTCTCTCTCTCTCTCTCTCTCTCTCGGCTAACATTTTATGTTATAATATATTTATATTACTCCTAATCTTGATTATATTTTAAAGCTGTAACATGGCACATGTGTATACATGCATATGCATCTTCCAGTGGCCATAGTTAAGCTGTGTGCTTCATTATATATATATACATCACACTCACTTTCACCTAACCCTTATACCCTCAATAAAAGTTTCACGCAGTTTCACTCAGCACAGGTATGGACTTCATAAACCTACACTCCCACACATCGAATAGGAAATAAATTTGCAAAACTGATTTTATATGCATGATGAAAGAAAGTTTTGATCTGGCTGGCATAAAAGAATTACCCAGTTTACTTTAAAAACAGCTGCTGTCTATGAGTGTGTAAGACCTCATATAATGCCTAAATATAATGTGCTAAATCCTTAATCAGTTTTCCTCAATCACTGCGATATCACACTTTATGGGTTATACATTGTGAGTTATTAAGGTTTGCTGTGTTTCTACCATGTAGGCCATTGCGCCGTATCTGCCAAGAGGAGATGTCAGGCTGGATCCTGCCATCTACGAAATGGTCCTGAATGAGTTTCTCCACTCAGACTATGAGGTATGTCTCACTCTATACACAGGGTTTCTTATACATAGGAGGCACAGTGGTGCACCGCCGTTGTCAAATTTAACATCGCCGATGTGAAAATGTTCCTGTATTTACTGATAAGTATATCCTGTATCTATATACCTATAAGTATATCAATACATCCTGTATTTACTGATAAGTATATCCTGTATCTATATACCTATAAGTATATCAATACATCCTGTATTTTAATTCATAATGCACGTTTTTTCCCCAAACTAGCCATTACCTCCTTTGTCAAATTTTTCCTCAGAAGAAACCCTGATTACGTAGATACAGATATATATATATATAAAAATACAGTGTGACCTAACCCTAGCGCTAACCATAACACAATACTGTTTGTATATATATATATATATATCAGTATATAAATGTATATGGTATCACTCTTCAATATATGATTGTAGGTTGACCTCTTGTATGTCATGGCGCCGTTCAAATTTCGTAGCGTTGATGTGTAAATAATTAATTAAGTATCTGGTGACAAATACATGTGGGTATAGACGATTTTTTATACAGTAAGTACAGTTGTATGCAGTAAAATCCTAGAGGCTACTGTCCCTTTAAAAACTGATGGCTAAACCATTGCTTACAATGACAGTGGCACCACTACAAGCGCATCTACTGATAAAGTTGCGCAATGCAACTTTTTTGGCTGTAGGCTACAGACCGAGGGTGTTTCTTATTTATTGATTTAAGATGAGAATTCATGATTGCAATATCTTATAAACAACTCTTAGTTTTAGTTATAATATGGACAAATTTGTCATAAAATAAAAATTGTTCAGTTAAACATGGTTAGGTATAAATATAATTGCATTTTTGTGAGTATATATCCCTTGGTCTGTAGTGTGCAAAATACATATATGCGCAAGTGCAACTTTGTCAAGGTGGCAGCACAATTGCGGGGTCTTATGTCAGCAGTCAAAAATAAAGAGTTTGATACTCACTGTTGTTTTATGACGTGAATGCATGATTATAGAAATTTGTATGTATATACTATTATTTATACAATTACTATCGCTCATAGGGTCTATGTCCCCCAGGGTACTGCCGGAACGTACGTTGGGTATGGTCCGGTATACCGGAATGTACCCTGGTAACTATCTGATATGTTTAGGGTTAGGGAGTAGGCGTAGCCCGCGCCACGTAGGCGACTCCCTAGACTCGTTAGTGGAGTAGGCGAGGTACGGTCTGGCATATTAGATAGTACCAGTGTACGTTCCGGTATACCGGACCGTACCCAGGGTACGTTCCGGCAGTACCCTGGGGGACATAGACCCTCTCAGCCTTACTATTATAATACACTCTAAAATTCTAGGGTATAGTATCTCTTTAATAGCTTTATATTAAGTTACTACTAAATTTTATTTGGCTACGTGTGTTTACATGTCATAATAATGGAATTATAGTGCCTTTAATTGCAATCTTTTGATTACAACAAACAGGATGATAGTAAAGCAGACACTAGTAGCATGAGTGCGGATGCAGATGATGGCAGCAGTACAGAATCAGAAATATCTGATGAGGTAAGATTTCCTTCCACATCATCGTTGTATGTATTAGAATCAATTACGCTTGTTTTAAGCAGCCCCAATGCACAGGTAAACTTGATCAGTTCAAAGTCGTATACTGCAACTTATTAAAACACACCATGATAGACTAGTGCTGAGACTGTCAAAAGTAAATAGAGCTTGAAATTAATACATGTTGATTAGGTTATTAAGGCATGTCGGAGGATTTATAGGAAATCGCCAATTAGTTTCAGCTTAGACGGCATGTTGGATGAAACATGCGTTAAAGGCTTGGTGAGAACCCTGCAATACAACATCTGTCTTCGATAATATCCAGGGAATTCAGCTGTTTGAGAATAACATATAATCATAACAAATAATGACATTAATAATATTACATACAAATATAACTTGAAAATAGCATGATTATCCTACTTGTGGAAATTCTCCTCTGGCGCAGCTGTGTTCTGAGACTAGTGTGTTTATATTTTTCTTCTGCATCTATTTTAGCCAGTCGAACCAAAACTGAAATACGAGCGAATCGGGAATGACCTCAGTAACATTCTCAGCAAAGATGCAGCTAGCTGCATGGCTGTTCATCCCAAGGTATTAATTGGCATCAGTAATAATCACTGCTAGGTATAGAAGGAAAGACATCACAACTTATGTGAACTCAAAAGTCATAGTACTTACAATTGTTTTATACTTCATAGTTGTGTTGAATTCTTTTGCTTGCAGTAACTTCTAAGCATGGATGTCACAATGTACTTTCAAATTTTAAAGGGATAACTTTGTCTTCACTGAAGTTGTGTTTCAATTCTGCATAAAAATGCATGCTCTTCAGTTTATCTTTCATTTCTATAATACATTGAGTAATTCTTTTCCAGTTTTTGGCATTGGGTACCCACTGGGGAGTGATCCATGTTCTTGATCATCTTGGTAACAACATTATGAGCAAGGAAAAACCTGCTGTAAGTCACATAGACTCTGTTATCACAGGTCATTTGACAGTTTAAAAAAAATTAAAAATACCACAAAGAACACTATATTGTTCAGTTCATAAATAACTTAGAAACGTAAAAACATTCTGCATTCTAAAGCTTCAGGTTCGCGTATTTATTGTCGTGTTTTATGTTTTCACGTGCAGCACACAACGACAGTGAACCAGATAGCCATAGATGCAAGCGGAGAGTACCTAGCCAGCTGTTCAGATGATGGCCGGGTAAGAATCCCCCAATGTCCAACGATAACAGGTTATTCTGCAAATCATGACATTATCTCATCAAAATGCATGGCGAGAAGACGACAAAGGCTAGAGTGTAAAACCCAAGACATTCACTACCTGATACTCTATTTATCCATAATCCCAGCCTTAATATTAACTATGCTCTCAATTCTGAATTTAACCCTATAGCAGAAATGTAATGTTACACTATATCTGGGGGGGGCGTGGGATGGCTGGTGTGAGCATGTGGTGTAACACTGCAGTATCTGGTCTTGAATTTTGCCACAGCACCACCGGCAAGCGACGTGGTTTCCTTACTCGCCATTATGCACGTGAATATTGGCTGATAGCCACAGCAATAAACTTCTATAGCTGACCTACCTGTTTTTCCGCATTGTGTGTTTGTTTATACCTCACAATATTTGAATTTATTAAAAACCCTATTAAAATTTGACCCCGAGTCTAACACTGATGTTTGATGCAGGTGGTGATCAGTGGTCTATACAGCACTGACAACAACCAGGTGCACATGTTTGACCGACCAGTTAAAGCTGTATCGCTTGATCCAAACTTTGGGAAGGCTGGCAGCGGTAAACACTATATGACAGGCGATGATAAGGTGAGCCTATCTCCCTCATTTACTTCATTATTTATGTTTGTGTAATTTTTGTGTGAGGCTTTCTTAATGTAAGACGTCTAACTGAAGCCATTATTAGCTCACCTTGACATCGTCAAGATGAGCTATTGCCATGGGGCATTGTCCGTCGTACGTCCGTCCGTCTGTCCGCCAACATTTGGCTACGGTCAACGATAACTTGAGAACCGTTTGACCCACATGTTTCAAATTGCATACAGTTGTTACTCCTATGGGAGAGATTTTAACGTCTTATTTTGGAGCACGCCAGTTGACCTACGTTTGAGCCACGCCCACTGTTTGGCAAAAATGGAAATGGCCATAAGTCAGTTCAGGTTCAACGGATTTTGCTCATTTTTGGTATGTGAATGAATAAGGAGTGGCCCCAAAACATATCACACAGGTTTTGATATTTTTTAATTATGCAAATTAGGAAGATTTTGGCAATTTCACTATGCATTTCAGTGTCTGCCTACGGTCAACGATAACTCAAGAACCGTTTGACCCACATGTTTCAAATTGCATACAGTTGTTACTCCTATGGGAGAGATTTGAACATCCTATTTTAGAGCACGCCAGTCGACCTACTTTCGAGCCACGCCCACTTTTTGGCAAAAATGGAAATGGCCATAAGTCAGTTCAGGTTCAATGGATTTTGCTCATTTTTGGTATGTGAATGAATAAGGACTGGCCCCAAAACATATCACACAGGTTTTGATATTTTTTTTAATTATGCAAATTAGGTAGATTTTGGCAATTTCACTATACATTTCAGTGTCGGCCTACGGTCAACAATAACTCAAGAACCGTTTGACCCACATGTTTCAAATTGCATACAGTTGTTACTCCTATGGGAGAGGTTTGCTCGCCCTATATTGGAGCACGCCAGTCGACCTACTTTCGAGCCACGCCCACTTTTTTGGCAAAAATGAAAATGGCCATCTATAGATTCATTCGATTTTGTTAAATTTACCTACCTAATCATACCTACGTGTAATATTGTGTTTTAGATTCTTTGTTACAGTAATTTGACTGGAATGTTTTATTGCTTTGCGCGATAATCGAAAACCAAAATGGCGATCATTTAGGCGTAGCACCATCTCTCGCCCAGATTTCAGACTTTCAGATCTGAAACGTTTATTTTCGCATCAAAACTAACCCTGAAACAAACCAGTGAAATTTCTATTAGTATAAAACAGGGAATAAGGACATTTGATCACATTTTGGTCACATTTTTTCACCCCCAAAGTGAGCTATAGTATCATTGACACTTTCATTTATGCACTACGTGTTTCTTGATATGTACGATGGCGACATTTCATGTCATGTATTGTCATAACATGTATTTTTCTGTTGTATTATGAACATATTACTCGCCTTTCTTAATCACTGTATGATAGTGGTGATGATGGTGTGGTGGTGGGGATAATGATAATGGGGTGGTTGTGAAAGTAGTTCTGATGATTTGTGATTATTTTAAACAGTTGGTTCTGCATGAGAAGGCATTTCTTAACCGGCACAAGACCACAGTCATCCACCAGGGGGAGGGGCCAGTCAGAAACATCAAATGGTCACCGGATGGGCAATTCATTGCATGGGCAAACGACGTTGTAAGTTCTTGTGTTTTTTATATGCAATGAATGCCATATTTGATGTAATGTATGCAAATTGAAAACGCGAGTACAATTACATACATAATTCACAAGGCATAAATAGATCTTTCACTCGGAAAATGAATTGTTCAGTGCAAGTTTACAGTATGACTGATATAGAATTGGTGACTATCTATATTTACATACGATTAGTTATAGTAAAATATACATTACCTTTTGGTACAACCCACAGGGAGTGAAAGTGTATGACATGGCTCTAAAGCGAAAGATCACTTCCATTCCCAGAGAAGATAAATCTAAGTATATAGGCATTATTGACTTATTTATGTTGCATAATACTTGAATCCTTCTGAATGTTCGGTTGAAATAACTACTCATCATCTGAACGTAAACAACTTTATTAAAGTATTTCTGCTTGCTAAACTCACGCTGTGGTCCTGATATATTATGATTTGACTAAAATTGCTTATATGATGATTTTTGTACATTTTTAGTCTCAGACCCGAGCTGTATCGATGTACACTATTCTGGAAGAATGAGAAGGTGCTGTTAATTGGTTGGGGTGACTGTGTGAAGATATGTGCAGTACGAGAACGCAAGGAATTTTCCAACCCTGAGCAACCGAGCAAATATGTGGAGATCAGTAAGTTTTCCCAGTGACATGGGCAGTCATGTTGGTATTTCCATTCTAACCTTGTACGGCAAGTGAATTCCAGTTTCTAAAATTATAAATTGATCTTGTATCAAGTGCAGTAGGGGTAATTGTAAGTATGGGAGGGTGTGTTGTTCTCTGTTTGCATGGGGTTTTAACATACACTTCTGCTAAATTCCAGCCGAGATGTTTGCGACAGATTTCTATGTATGTGGACTTGCACCTTTTGGTGAAAATTTGGCCGTATTAACGTATGTGAATCCGGATGAAAACGTGGTATGTATTTCATCATGAATCGTCGATAACATTTACCAATTGTGATAGTCACACTTTAGTGGTTTCTTTATTTTTCAATCCTAACACCACTGATTTAAGACATGCCAATAATAATGTAACATATTGCACTTCTTCCCTATCACATGTGACCTTTGTGCAGTCCTGCTGCAGCAGACTGCCTTTGATAAATAGCAAAAGTTAGATGAATCTGATGAGACTAGTTGTCCAAACTAGTCATTAAATTCTAACATGGAATCTCCCATTTTCACAGAAGCCCTGGAAGCTAACCCGGTGGAACAACACTCCACAGTTCGGCCCCAAACCTCTGGTTTCAATATTTCCCTCACGCGCGCGTGTTTCGTTGCACTGACGTTGTATTCGCATTTAGGGAGTGCCGTTAGCATCTGAGCGTCCGCAGCTGCGCATCGTGGCGCCACACATGGATTACTACGAGGAGCTGTCTAACGACGCGCTGTCGATACGTGGCTTCACGGAGTACCGCTGCAACGACTACCATCTGGGTGAGCTCGCTTGCAAAGTAAATTCTCGAGTGTGGCAAAGTTTAACTTGCCTTGGTGAGCCTCCATCGAATGGAGTGTTTACCTTGGTGCCCCGCGTTTTATGGAATTATTTGCTTTGGTGTTTATCCTTTAAATGAAAAGTTTTGCCTTGGGGCCCATCCACCTTGCCTTTGTGCACCTCTTTTGAAAGAGATGTTTGCATTGGTGCCAATCCAACTTGGTGCCCCTCCTTTAAAGGAAATGTATACATTGGTGTCTCTCAAAATTACTTTAGTTCCTTAACAATCCTGATTAACCCCAAGGCAACACTATTATTGGTGCCCCTAAAACTTGTCCTGGTACCCCCTCAACGTGCCTGGGCATCATTCCGACTTGCCCTGGAGGCCTAAAATTTCTGATTGCACCCAAGGCAACTTTTGTCTCAGTGCCCCTTTAATTTGTGACTGTGCCCTAATGTATCTGATTAAATCCAAGGCAACAAGGCCTTAATGATTACAGTTCCATCTTTCGTCAGTGTGTCAGCGAGGCCGTGCAGTTGATGGCTTTATGTACGGTCACCATGCATCGCGGCGGCGGATATTGATGTTTGAGTTCTCACGTTTAATTCTCACACATCTCCCCTTCTCTCTCTCTCTCTCTCTCTCTCTCTCTCTCTCTCTCTCTCTCTCTCTGTTTCTCGATGGCGTGTAGAGTGTGTCATTGAGGACGAGCTGTTCTTCATCGTCAGCCCCAAGGACGTGGTCGTGGCGAAGCCGCGCGACGATGACGACCACGTGCAGTGGCTCATGGAGCACGAGTTCTTTGAGGTCAGTTCTCGTGCTCGTAATCGACGCGTTGCTAGGCGACCGGAGATCTATACATTACAGCTGCACTCGTGATGTCTCAATGTCACATCTCGCGTGTCTCGTACGCTCGTGAAATCTCGGGTCGCGGAAATCCTGTAATCGTCTTGCCCAGACTATGCTTATTGTAGTTAATGCAGTTATGTGTTAGGGTTACTAAAAAATCCATTTTTCACAAAATATAAGTAATTCTGTTCACTTTTTAGCTCATCTGACATAGTCAGATGCAGCTTGTAGAATCGCTTGATCGTCCGTCCGTCCGTGCGTCCGGTCGTCCGTCCGGTCGGTCGTCCGTCAACAGTTGGGCACAAATCTTAACCGCTCGACGTACGGTCACGATATTCGGGTCGTTGGGGGGGATCGTCAAAACGAGTTGGGATGGGGGTAAAAGAAGGGGGAACATACACTCCTTAAAGGCAT